CAAACAAGGAAGTAAAGATATCACATTAATTTTTAGGGCCTCTAAGAACTATAGTAATGGTCTATAACATTGATGATATAAGGTATCAAGCATTGAACTTATATATGCATTGATGGTAGATAATTCCACTCCATACACGCATAAGACAATGACATATCACATAAGAGTAGTTTTTTGAAAGTCTCAATTTTTAATTCTAGAATAAGAATTTTCTTTTGACTAGAGAATCAAGTAGCTGAGAAAAGGAAGGAGGAAACCAGATTATAACTCTCCAATTGATATTATTTATATAATGAATTTGTAACTAACTAGGATAATTTAGGGGTCATCGTCACTACGGTGTCATATTCGATTCTACAGTGTCACTACAGTGTCATATTCGATTCTTATTAATGGTACCCCATCGGAGTACTTTAGACCTTCAAGAGGACTAAGACAAGGAGATCCCCTTTCGTCCCTCCTTTTTGCCATCTGTGCTGAAGGATTTTCTAGCATGATAAGGAAAGCTACCTCCGTAGGATACCTTGAAGGAATCAGAATCCGTCCTAGATGTCCGGTAATTTCCCATCTACTTTTCGCGGATGACTCATACCTATTCTTGACTGCCTCGCCGGAGTATTGCTCGTCTCTCCTTTCCCTATTACAGGCATACGAGGAGTTGAGCGGCCAACGAATAAACTTAAATAAATCAGCTGTCCTTTTCAGCCACAATACAGACCCTTCTCATGCTTAAGTTATGGGTGCTCAATTGGGTGTCGGGACCATAGGAGAACATGACTCCTATTTAGGTCTACCAACCATCTTATCAGAATCAAAAAGGGATACATTCCAGTTCATGGAAGAGAAACTTATTAAGAAGTTACAAGGGTGGAAACAGCGATCCCTTTCGAAAGCCGGGAAATACATTCTTATTAGAACATCGGCTACCAATATACCAGTACTAGGAATGTCATGTTTCAAGCTCCCCAAGGAAAACTGTAGACGATTAAACAGTCATGTCGCAAAGTTTTGGTGGGGAACGGCACAAAATTCAGATCACCCAATCCACTGGTTGTCTTGGAAAAGCCTAGCACACAGTAAGTTCCATGGAGGTCTTGGATTCAGGGACTTTGAAGCCTTCAATCAAGCGTTGCTAGCCAAACAATGTTGGAGAATATGGACCAATCCAAATTCACTCCTTTCCCAGATCTATAAGGGCCGATACTTTAATCAATGTTCGGTGTTGGAAGCATCAATCGGTTCAAACCCTTCATGGGGGTGGAGAAGTCTACTCTTTGGAAGAGATCTACTCCTCCAGGGATTAAGATGGCAAATAGGAAATGGGCAAAGAACTCGGGCTTTCATTGATAACTGGATACCGGGGGATAAACCCTTAGTACCGAACACACGACCCCACATTCAACATGGATCTCCTATGTATCCTACTTTATAAAAGAAAGTTGAGGGGAATGGGACGTTTCAAAGCTCCAAAATTGCTTTGAATCTCAGTCTGTTGATCTCATAAGGAGAATTCCTCTTCCTCGTTACTCACAGCAAGACATTAGATGTGACACTATTCCAAAGATGGTAAATACACAGTTAAATCGGGTTATCACTTAGCCTTGGAAATAATATTAGCATCAAGCCGAAAGCCGATAGTACATATCATCGACCCTCCTATTTGGAAAAAGACTTGGAACATCCAAGTTCCGCCTAAACTCAAATTCTTCATATGGCAATGCCTCAAAGTCATATTCCCCACAGTAGTGGCCCTTCAATCTCGTGGAGTAAACTGCCTTAACCGATGCCCTGTCTGCTGGAGACATCGAGAAAGTATCGAACATTTATTTTTCAGATGCCCCCTAGCCTTCAGATTGTGGTCTTTAGTGGGATTGAGAAACTTTATTGAGACCCCCCAGACTGTTAATTTTAGTCTATGGTGGCGACATGTCATGGTCTCCGAGACCTCCCCATTCCACATTCTCCAATGCGTCTGTTTACTTTGGAGAATCTGGAAGTCTAGAAATGAAGTGACCTTTGAATTTACCCAACCCCATGTCCGTTCCTTAGCCAGACAGTTCTACAACCAGGTCCTCGAATTTTCCAGTCTCCTTCCCCCCCTTCCTCCCCGCAGCTCTCTACTCCCAAACATCTCAGCCACCTATTGGATCCCTCCACCAGAAGGCTTTTTGAAGATCAACGTCGACGCAGCTGTTAGCGCCTCTGGATGTTCGACTGGGCTTGTTATCCGTGGCTCAGACGGGCATGTTACGTTGGCAGTCGGGTTGCAGCATCAAGGAATAGTCAACCCTTATCTGGCTGAACTTCTAGCTTTCAGGGATGCTATCTCCTTTGTAGCCTCAAGATCCTTGTCTCAAGTGATAGTCGAAGGCGACTTCGAAGTGGTGGTCAACCAAATCCGTCATGGCATCTTAGAAGATTTGCTTGGTGGTCCGGTGTTACGAGAGTGTTTCCAAATCCTTAGCTCTTTGTCTGTTTGTATAGAGTTTAGGGCGGTACCTAGATCCGCCAACAGTGGTGCCCATAGAGTGGCGCGTAAAGCACTGCTTTTGTCTCTTGTAGAGCTAGAATCTTTTGATTTCTTGGGGGTGGCTTCAGTAGAGCCTTTTAGGGGTCTTGGGTAGAATTGTAAGCTTAACTAATTTTTCTCATTGATATCACCCAGAAATAAAAAAAAGATATCACATTAACAATTTAGAGCCTCTAAGAAAACTCTAGTAATGGTCTATAACATTAATGATATAAGGTATCAAGCATTGAACTTATACATGCATTGATGGTAGATCATTCCACTCCATACACAGTATAATACAATGACACATCACATAAGAGTAGTTTCCTGAAAGTCTCAATTTTTAATTCTCGAATAAGAATTTTCTTTTGGTTAGAGAATCTAAACCGTAGAGAAAATGAAGGAAAAAACCGGATATTATAACTCTCCTATTGATATTATTTATAATGAATTTTTAATTAACTACGATGATTGAGGGGTTATTTATTTGCCGTGAGTACGACGTCACCAAACCCACATTTGCTCTCGGAGTACCCAATAATACCTCTCGTCCCCGAGACACCTGTCACGACCTTACTCTCGATCGTGCGGCCCTAGCTCTCAAATCCGTTAGAGCGCTAGGCAGCCTTTCTCTCAACTCACTTGAAAGCAAAGAACAAGAACAAAGACAAAGGAAGTGGGAGAACTCTCTAGTGTGTATTACTCTAAAAAATGATGGAATGAGTTACAAGTGAGGGAGATGACTCCTTATATAGGCCTCTCCTCATACAAGGCATCAATGCCCCTCATAATGGTCCCTCTCTACATCCATACACCCCATTAAGTCCCCCCATTATGCACTCTAATAATGCTACCATAATGTAGCTCATAAGTGCACCATTAAGCTCTCATTTAGGTGGAGAATCCTAGGAGCATCTCTATGCTACTAGTCTTCCATACATGCCACATGTGCAGCCGCCTTGTTGTCACCTTGTTGGCGCCATGTCATCTGCCACATGTGACACACCACACGGGTATTTTTTTTTTAACTTTTCACACATTGTGACGAAAGAATAACATTCTTCTTTAATTTCTTATTATCCATCGATATCTTGAGAGTCCTCAAATTAAATTCATACACCGCCACTACATATCAAGCATACTATATATCTATATCTCGTTATTTGCTACATTCATACATATCACATCACTTCGATTCCAGAGTAACGACAGATCGATCACACCGCCCATTACCTTCTTAATTAATTATCCACATAACTGGTGTGAGTTAGTTGGGCTGGCAGAAATGGTAGTTCTCGAACCTGATGGAGCAAACCCCATTCTGCTCGCGCGCCTGCCCTCCTAGCCGATCCTGGCAGTACGACAGCAAGTGATTTTTCGCATCGGCGAGGCACGCGGCGCAGTCACCGTCGCCGCCGCTGCAGCTAGCCTCGCCGTGCTGGGTGTAGCCATCGTCAGCTGCGTCAGTGCAGTGAGGCTGCAGGGTCGAGTAGGCAGGCCCAGGCGTCTCTTCCACCAATTTGTCTAGCAACCCTTCCGTCGCTTTCTCCAGAGAGCTGCCGTCCGGTATATGGACTTTGTGGCACCAGCAGTCCACGAATTCGTAACCGGAAGCTGTCGAGACGAACACGTTGGACGCACTGGAAAGAAGAAGCATTGTCGCCATTGTCACGGCTGCCCTTCTGATCGTCATTTTCCTTTACCAAGCTTCAAAAATCTGCTCTCTCTCTCTGTCTGTATTGTATATCAATAACTAACTGAGATGGTCTTAATTGACGTTCCACATTCCCCCCGTTATTTTATATATACTCTGCTCCGCAGCCCGACAGGAGGAGAGTTCTTACAAGGGAAAACAATGACTATATCTAGATTGGAACAACTTCGATACCATAGCGCTTAGCAGTTAGCACATAGCGGAGCGGAGGAACAATACATAAAGATGGAAACTTTAATTAATTAATTGTGTTAGGATTGCGTACTGAATACAAATATGCCATCCTCCGTCTTTTCTTTTAATTTGTTTCTTTCCATGTTTGATGAGTTAGTATGATTTACTAGCTTGGACCCTGCTTTTTTTGGCACAGATGCTTTATTTCGTTATCTTCCAACTTCATATGACTTTTTCCATTTTGTTTTTATATATGTGGTTTTGATTCACATAAATTTTCTTTAGAGGCTGACGTAGTAGCAAATACTATCTATGTGTGTCTATTTCAAGTATAGGAAACAAATCTTTTTGTTGGTAATTCCACCTTTAAACACATATTTTTCTATCTTCTAATTTGGTTTTAGCAATAAATATTTTAGTTTGCAATATTAGCATTGAGGAATTTTTTTTTGCTTCTAAGAGATCCTTAGGAGACACAAATATTTGCCTCGATGAACCAAATGATTTTGCTTATATTTTTACTTTTCATAATATTATTTAATTTATATAATCGATTCCCGTGACATAATTATTTGCTTTTCTAGAGGGAACAAACCACGGAATTTTTATAAAATAAGAATATATTAAATTTAATGATATTTTAATACATTATTCTTAAAATGGTAAAATACATACATATTTTCTACTAACAGATGAATACATTAATTTAAACACGTGAAAAAAACAAACAAAATCTATCCTCATCGAAGGCCACCAATGTTGCCGTTGTTGTCGTCATCTCCTCTGCTTTTCCTTCATTCTACACCACGGAAGCTCCCTTGGTTGTTTCTCCAAGAGACCATCCTCGCAAGCTGAGTTTTACATCTCAATCGTTCCTTCAGCTCTTGTCTCATCCTTCTTATCCAAGCTTCCATGTCTTCCCGCAAGATTGACACAGTTTTTCTGAGTATCATCGTCGCTCATGGATGCAAAGTGGTAGTGAATGCTCGACCTTCCACTACTGACGAAGGATATGTTGCAATCCGGCATTGGCGATTCTGCTAAAAAAAGGAGGTAACAATTACCTGAGCTGTATTGCAACCAAAAAGAATGGCTAAGACACATTCTATGAAGTGGTAGTGAATGCTCGACCTTCCACTTATGCTTTGTTAATCTTTACTAGGCACTACAACAAATATGGCCTTTTATGACCATTTCCATGCAACTAAATTATTTTTGGTCGGCTTATTTTTTTATGACCAATTATATTTTAGTAATGAAAAGTTTGATGAATTGGTCACTAACTAAAAAAAGAGTTCTTATAACCAAATTAAAAATTATATGACCAAAAAATTTAGTGATAAAATGTTGAATTTTTTTCCTAACCAAAAATATTTGTTTATTATCCTTAATGCTTTTTAAAGTAACTAATATTTTTGGTCACATAAACATGCTAAAAAAGTCACTTACAAATAAAAAATAATAATTGTGACCATATTAAAGTTTACATTACTAAAAATATTGGTAATAAAGCAATAAAATAATTTTCTCACCAAATTTCTTGGTTATGTTTGCTCATAAAAGTTAATGATGGTTATATATTTTCCCCTGCCATCGCTATTTTTTCTAACTAAAATCGGGATTTGGGAACTGGGAAACAATTAAGTTTTGGCTCCGCTAGCTCTTCCAAATCCCTAGCCGTCGTCGCTCACTCTTCCAACCTGTGAGATTGCGGCCGCTGACTCCTTCATCCAAGAGATCGCTGCCGACTCTTTCGAGTCCGTCGGGAACTGCGTCCCCGCGAAGCCGAAAATGGACTCGAGAAAGATTCTCAGGCGCTATGGAGGTGGAACCACAATGGCGGCGATTTGAAATTGAAGCCGGTCATTAAGGCTCTGGAAATCAAGCAGATAGGCACCTCTTCTGTCCGATTCAGTCTCCACTCACCATGCGACGCTTGCCAGGCAGCTCAACGACCGCGACAAGAAGGGATTCGTTGTTCAATTGATCGATTACTCGTGCTGCGATGTTCAGAATCTCAGGTGAGATTCTCATCCCTGGGAGGTTAACTGTTCGATTTTCCTAGTTATTGCTCGTTTCTGGTGTGGTTTGGTCAGTTTGCAATTGCATTTACTTTCTAGAAGGTCGGGGTTGGTGGCGGGGACTCTGGCGACGGAGGTGTAAGCGGGGGATTCGCGAACAGTAGAGTGAAGGAACCTTGGTCGCGGGAGGAAGATGCGTTGCTAGATAAACTGGTGAGTAAGTTTGGGTCGAGGAATTAGAGCTTGATCTGTGGGGAATTCCAGACCGGTTCAGTAAATCTTGTAGGCTTAGATGGTGTAACCAGCTTGGTCCTTGTTTGAAATGCAAGCCTTTCACTGGTAAGCTCTTACGGCTCCTAAATCTCCCCATCGCTCTCGCTCTATGTCTCTGCCTTGCATTTTCCATCTGGAGGGGGGTTTCGGTTTTCTCAAATTTTATGAAGAACAAACTGCAAAGGAAGCCAGCTGCAGCTGGAGAGGAAGGAGAAGGAGATGAGGAGGACGAAGGGCAAGCTGGGGATGATGTTAAAGTATGATGATGATGGTGATCTAATCATTTGCAGGGTATTTCGACTCTTTTTTCTCCTGTTCCTTCATGTGCTTTATTGATATGGTTTCATTCTGGTTTCTCTGATTTCGCTTGTTTTGCTGCTCTAGGTTACTTGGGTGTTTTGACTCTGTAAAGAGAAGGAATTAGAAGCATTGACAGTTCTTAATTATTATTATGCCGATGATAAATATTGTTTAGATTTAGGTTTGACTAGATACTAAGGGAGGACTTGTGTTGATTCTACGCACCCTACACGAGTGAACTTCAGTGACTTTCTGAAATATGCAGGGTGAACATAGTGGAGAGAACACGGGAGATGGCTTGGTTGAGATCGATAGAAGGCTTGCTCTATAGCAAAAGAAGAAACTTGTTTTGGTTCCAGAATTATTGTTTTGAGAGGTAATTTCACTTTTGTCCAGTGAAGTCCTTGTCTGTTGGACTGGGCACAATCTTTAGCATCCTTTGTTGTCTACTTTGAAGTTTAACCATTTCCACCTAATGTTATTGTTGCTAGAGCTCTCATTTGTTTTCATTTATGAGTGTATGAGTGAACTAAAGGACTCTGCCTTTTGTTTTTATGTTAATAGGTAATCTTACTGGTTTATGCTTTGGTGAAGCAGAAGGTATAACCTTAACTGGTAGCTGGGAAGGTAAGTTCCTCTCCATTAATATTATTTCATACCTCTTAGTTAATGTATGAGTTAGGTCAGATCATGTTCCACTCCATTAATATAATGTCATACCTCTTACGTAATGTATGAGTTAGATTAGATCATGGTTTTGGTTTCCTCTGTTGTTTGGAATTTACTGTTTTTAAGAGCTTTGATGGGATAGGAAGTAAGGGATTCTTGTGGCTTTGTGGTTAGTCTCTTACTTGAGTGTATATTGGGGGAAATGATTGCTAACACAGATATGACTCCTGATCATTCCTCGACTTGTTATGCAGTATTTGGCTTGATTAGTTTAGTTGAGGGTTCTTTTTTGGACAATGAGTGGTTGTCTTGCTTATGCCCTGTCTTTCCCGTGCATTCTTAATATTATAGCTTTTGAACTCAAAGGAAAATAGACATCTAGATCTCCTTGAAATGTTTCCACCTCAATCTTCATATATCCCAGTTGGGGTTTCATTATTATGTTGACTCATTTTTAATTGAGGTACTTGATAAGTCTATTCAAGCCAATCTCCCATTCTGTTTACTACCCACCTGTATGTTTAACTCTGATGGTAGTAATAGGAGCATCATTAAATTTGGTTATAGGTAAAGAAGGTTGGTATTGTTTGTGGTTTGATATCAATCGGTCATAGAATGCATCTGCAAGTTTAAGATATCACTGAAGAGGTTCTAAGCAGTGTATGCTTTTTTCTTGTATGTTTGCAGAAGTATAGAATAATGGAGAAGAGTGTGATTGAATCAGCCTATATAAAGTGGCGTACTATTATGAGACAGAAGGATGGGGAAATGAATTTGTAGAGGCTAACTATGTAAGTATCTCTCGTCTGTTTGTCTTTTATTTGTTCTTAATTTATCGCCTTTTAATTAGCAAATGAATAGATATTGAACCATTCAGTTCTGGACATCAAGTAGATAGGCACCTATCTTCAACGATTAAGTCTCCACTCACCACGCGATGCTCGCTGGGCAGCTATGTTCAGAATCAGAGGTGAGTTTCTCATCTCTTAATTGCTTCGTCGTTACTCTTAGCATTTGGAGAGTTGAAATGCATATACTTGTACAGTGATTCTGTGTTTTGTGTAATGGTTGAGAAGGATTATACGCCGGAGAAGGAAAGGGAGGGTAAGGTTTATTTAAGAAGTAGGGATTTTTCATCTTTTTCTCTTTCGCACCTCATTGGAGTAATAGATCTGAATGGTCTGTCATAGTACTAACTGCTAACCCATATATTTTATCCACCCTGAGCTTTCTCATAAAATCGAGCTGGTTATTTGGATGCAACAGGAGAAGCAAAAGGATTTGAAGGATTTTGCAGCAGATGATTTCAACATTGGCATCTCAGATTCCTGGGATGATGGTGTCAATACAGTAGATTATCATGCTCCTCTGTTTGGAATATTTACTTTTTCTCATTTTTGTACTTAAGTTTTTTTGGTAGTTGTGAACTACAACTGCTGTTGGCGAATGTAAATAGATATTTGGTTGGAAATAATGATGGTGACTATTATAATTGGTTACTCTAAAATAAATATATTAGTTGCATAAAAATGGTTATCTTGTATGATTACCACAAAATATTGGTTGGAAATAATTTTTGTGACCAATAAAAATGAATTTTTATTTTAACAATTGATTGGTTACATCATATACTTTTCAAAACCAAAAATGGTTGTGGTGACCATAAAATATTAGTTAGGATAAGAGTTTCACAACCAAAATTTTGGTTACTTAAGGTTTGCTTACATTAGTTATAAAGAATAAGTTCGTAACCAAATTTTTTGGTTTTAAATAATGGTATTTGTGACTTAATCATTTGGTTGGTAAAAGATATTTTAATTGGTTAATTTTTATACTATTTGTGACCAATCAGGTACTTTTCCGTGACCTTTCCGGATGAGTTGTTATAACCAATTACTTTGGTTGCAAAAATATTTGTTTTGTGACCAATTTGGCATTTCGTTACAAAATGATCGTGTATTGTGACCAAATCAAAATTTTGGTCAGGAATTGGTTTTCCTAACGGGGCGAATGTGACCAAGGGTTCAACCAAATTTTTTTGGTCACAACATAGGTTTTACGACCAAATATTGACATTTAGCGACCATTCACTTTCGTCACAAAAGGCAATTTCTGTTGTAGTGAGGGGTACCTTTGTGGTTGTGGAGGTTGCTAAGAGAATCTTAGACACATTCTATGAAGTTTATGTCTTAAAGTGTAACCCTAAAAAAGTGGAGCGTTTTGTGCTGGTGTTGATTAGAGTACACAACAACTTATATCTCTTCAAAATGGATTTCTGATCGGAAAACTTCCATTCAGGTATCTTGGAATATGATTAGCTGTTGGAAAATCGAATATTACAAACTGTAAAGTTCTAGTGGAAAATATTACTGTCAGAGTTAGGGGTGACATGGAGGGAAGTCTTGAAATCTAGGAAACTAGGTAAAGGTCCTCTCCCACAGTATGCTTGTGTATTCTAGGATAATGATCTTAAGGAAATTCACTTTGTTAAGAAGGTATGGGAATCTGTTAAACCAAAGTATGATACAGTTCCATGGTATAACTTGATCTAGCAGTCATATATCACACCAAGAGACAAGGTTATTGTTTGGTTGATAGTCGTAAACATAAATACTTTTGACAAGATCAAAGTATGGAAACCTGCTATATCAAATGTTTGTGCTTTTTTCTCAAAAGCTAAGGAATTCAGGAACCATCTGTTCTTCAGTTGCCCTTTCTCCATGACTGTCATGAGAGCTGCTTTAATTTCCAATCTGAAGTATAGTTTTTGAAGAAGATTCAGACCCTGCTAAAGTTGTTGAGGGATGGTTGCACTCTAATTGCATCCATCATCTCGGATACAGAAATATATAGTATTGTATAGTCGTCGGTGTGTGCTAGCAGGTTGTTGTAGGTTTGAATGTCTTTGGTTTATGGTAGAATATAATTAGACAGGTTGCTCTTTCGATATCATATTTGACTCTGTTTGTAATGCTGACTGTGATTTTGAGGGTTCCAGTTAGGATGGTTATACAAATCATCATTTCTTGATGAATAAAACACACTTATTCATAAATAGGTAAAAAATCAATATCAACCAAAACCTTTGATGAATGAGAAATGGAAGGGGACACACTTGCTCTAATTGCCCGGATATGGTTTCTATTTCAATTGGATAAGACTTGAATTCCACGTTATTTATAATTTTTTATTAAAAAACTTAAAAATAAAACTTGAATTAAAAAAACCCCGCAAAATAGGACCGTTAGCTTATCTTTTTTTTTTTTGTTTTACTTGCGGACATAACACAAGAAAAGAAAATTCAATTTGATCCAGGCCACCCAACAATTGTTAACAGTGAGTATAAATAGTCAATCAAAATTTTGGGATAGATTTGTCTTTTCTTTCAAATTTGGAAAAAAACTGTCATTTTTTAAATTCAGGTAAAAATTGTCTTTTATACCAAAGTTCGCACTAAAGTAGGGTAAATAAATGACGTGGAAGTCAAATAATAACCACCTCAATATTGTTGCTTAGTCATAAACAGATAAATGTTCATTTCATATCAAATTTGTCCATATCTGTCAAAACTCGATCGGACAAACTAGTTTCTTTGAAAGTTCTTGACAAAAGTGCATTTTACTTCAAAATTCAGGTCAAAATGGTATATTATCTCTAAAATTAATAAGAAAAAATAGAATAGAGTTTGGGCACCAAGATACCCATTAATGTGGGAGCAAATTAGCTAAAGTAAACTTTAATGGCTCAAATTGGGGACGAAATCGTAGTAGATGGTTACGTTGAACTTAATTTAAAGTTCAGTGACCAATTAGCAATTTACCGTAAACATATATAAAGTCGCAAAGTCGATGTTCGGAAGTATTGCAGATCCCCAATTCTCTGCCTTCCCGCAAATCAAATTAGGGTTTCTTTCCATTCCATCCGAAAATACTAATCGATCCAGGGTTCTTCCTTTCGTTGCTGAAATCCCGTTTGCTGTCAACGATGGAGCCGAAGACTATCCAGTCCAGCTCTGATGAGTCACTTCCCAGTTCTAAATCCTTCCCTGTCGGCGGATCGTCTCTGCCAAAGAGGCAGAAGGTGGAAGAAGAAGAAGACGACAAGGAATCCAGTGATGTGTCCGTTGCTGAATTGATGGAGGCGGGCAAAGAGTTGACGCCGAAGGCAGAGACGCCGTTTGATCCGGACGAAGATGAAGGCTACCAACGCCTCCTTAAGAAAGTTACGGACAGCGAGGTTGGCGATCTTATGCTACTGTGTGTCGATCTATTTGTTTCTTCCCCAACCTGTCTTTTCTCTAATGAGAATTATCTTCTTGTTAGGGTTTCGATTTGGACGAAGACCCTCCTATGGAGTACATTTTTGCCGGCTTCCGGTTGGTGAGGGTACACTTAAACAATCCATACCACGCCGGTCACGCGAGGATTGTTCGCAGCTGCATCGACTTTGCAATAAAGAAACAGAGCGAACGTGTTTGTGATATATTATATAGATTCTCATCTCCTTCCCCTATCTATTTGATTCCCCTTTCAATTTTGGGCTCTAGCATGTATATATGTATGTGTAACACCTCTTTGTGCTCGCAGCTCACCTACGTTGATACCGTGAGTGCGAATGTTATGGTGGAAGTTGGTCATATCTATTTCATTACATTCCGAGCCAGGGACTCTTCCTCGCAAGTCAAAACTTACCAAGCCGAGGTTTCATCTGGCCTTTGGGATGAGATGGATGTCAAAATCTTCCGGGAGAAGAAACCCTAGCAGCCAGGCCAGAGTGATCGAGCTAGCTGAGCTGAGGTAACATATATTACGAGACCTGTTTGCTTTCAGTGATCTGCATTGTTGCAATTGATCTCGATGGCAACTTGAAAGATATTCCGCTTTATTAAGAGATTTGTTTTTCTCTTCCTATGAAGGTGAAGGCTTTATTACACCCCGGCCCCAAGAGAGAAAAAGGAGAGGAAAAAAGTAGTAAAAGTGGATTGACAGACATAAAGATAATTTCTTTTGATGTAGTCTAATGTTATAATTTTTTTTTTTTATTTTATAAAAGAATCATTATGGTTTCTTGTTAAATCCATTTACATTTTTTAAAAGCTTGTGAAACACATATGACACGTGTATTGTATGAACCAAGTACGCAAAGGCACCATTAGACATACGGGTGAAAATCACTAATCATCATTGAACTCATCTTATTAGTTTACACTTACCATTTGAGCTCCATTTTAGTTCAGCGAAACCACTAAATAGGGTTAATAGCATTTTATATCTTTCTACTATTGTAGTTTAACAAATATACACTCGTATTATTTTGTACAAACATACCCTCTAATATTATCACTATTTTCATCAGTTGATCGTTAAAGGACTTGTTAATGACTACATTGCCCTTCTATCTTAATTTTATTACTTTCCAGCAGAAAAATGGAATTAATTAAATAAATTTTAATTATTGTTTTAATTATTTTTCCTTTTCACATTGATTTTTACGAACTTGTCTTCGGCTCTAATCAAATTGAGATCCTTCCAAATATTGTTGTTAGGTTTTGGGGCTAGAACCACCATTGAAGAATCAAGCTGCGATGTGGGTTTAGACTCATCGAAAGATTGGGTTAAAGACACATTTGGTCACTGAGATTACAAAATCGGGACATGTTTAGTCACTAGAAAAAATTAATATCAAATTTGATCACTACAATTACTAAAACTGGACACATTTAGTCACTCGCCGTTAGTCTCCGTCCAACTCCGTTAATGAAGTCCGTTAAGTGATGATGTGGCAAACAGAAATGCCTAATCAGCCGGATATAACCCAACAAAAATAAAACCCGACCCGCCACGTCATTATAACTCGCCACGTCATTAAAACCAACCCAACCCAACCCATGACCCAACCCCACCCAACCCTTCTTCCTCCTTCCTCTCACCTCCTTCTTTCCCCAAAACCACCGCCGCCGCTCTCCTCCTTCCTCCCACCTCCTCCCGCAAACCTCCACCGGCTGCGAAAATTGACAGGAAGAAGTACAGTATCCCAAATCTCTCTTTCTGTCTTCTGGAGTAAAATATCCCAAATCTCTCTCTCCGATTATCCCCAAATCCGGCTCTATCGAGCTCTCCCTCTCTACTGGGGAATCCAGCGGGGAACCCTAAACCTAGCATTCTCGCTATGCCACACTCTCTGCTTCTGTTGTCCACTGCCTGATAAACCCTAAGGGAGAGCACCCTTCCGAGGTCGACAAGACTTCCAGGAGACGGTAATCTCACACTTTTGGAGATTTCGCTTCGATCGGTGGAAGATTGAGGGGATTCCTTGTGACGCGGTGGACTCTGCTTCGTGGAAGAGCTCGTGACGTTCCCGATCAGAGGAATTGATATCGGCTTCGGTTGTGTTGTGTTCGTGGATTGATTGGGGGTGATTCTATCTCTGTCGTCTTCCGCGGGAGCTGGAAAGTTGAGATCCAAAAAACTGTACTTCTTCCTGTCAATTTTCGCAGCCGGTGGAGGTTTGCAGGAGGAGGTGGGAGGAAGGAGGAGAGCGGCGGCAGTGGTTTTGGGGAAAGAAGGAGGTGAGAGGAAGAAGGAAGAAGGGTTGGGTCATGGGTTGGGTTGGGTTGGTTTTAATGACGTGGCGGGTCGGGTTTTATTTTTGTTGGGTTATATCCGGCTGATTATGCATTTTTGTTTGCCACATCATCACTTAACGGACTTCATTAACGGAGTTTGACGAGGACTAACGACGATTGACTAAATGTGTCCAGTTTTAGTAATTGTAGTGACCAAATTTGATATTAATTTTTTCTAGTGACTAAACATGTCCCGATTTTGTAATCTCAGTGACCAAATGTGTCTTTAACCCTCGAAAGATTCAAAATTTGAGGAGGTTCTTCGAAATTCCAAGAAGGAAGCGGATTTGTAGGAATAGCCGGCAGAGAAAGTTTCGATGGATTGGGAAGAGGAGGTGGATGATGTCGGTCAGTTTTGATAGCAAATCTGAATCGACAAGTTCGAGAGAGTAGTTGAAGCATCATCTTCCTTTTATCAGTCGAGATTTGACGGTTCTAGCCTTCTAGGGGTTTGGATTAAGAAGCGGCGGCGGAGGAGGTTAGGTTTAGTTTCTGTTAGGGATGGCAATTATGCCCATACCCATGGGTATTTTACTATCCAACCTAATTGGGTTGGGTATGAAATCCAAATATATGGATATGGGTAAAGTTTGATGGGTTTGTACCCATACCCATTTACTTGAAAAAAATCCCAGAATACGCGAGTTATTAAAAAAAATTCCCTAAATACAGTACTTATAAAAGTAATTCCCAAAATACAGCAGTTTCAACATCACTGTCTTAGACAAAGACAGTGATATTGATCACCGCTTTTGTCCAAAGCAGTGAAGCAGCGGGGAACGCATCACCGCGTTGGACGAAAGCGGGGAATGCATCATCGCTGTCGTCAAAAGCGGTGATACGTTCCCCGCTTTAGACATCAACAGTGAAGGCATCACCGCTGCTGTCCACAACAGTGATTGCCCCCACGTTTTACACAGCCCTGGTAGGTGGAGAGGTAGGTAACAGCTACCTAGCCATCACCGCTGTTGACTAAGGCGATGATGGGTTCACCGCCTTGGTCCAAAGCGGTGATTAGCTCCCAATTTTTCCTATAAAAACCCACGCCCTCTTCCCTCCTGCTGCCAAACAGAAAATTAGTACAAAAATTATCGTTTTGTTAAGTCGTTTTCGCAGCTGGTTCCTCCGTAGTTTACTGCTCAAGAAACTCGTCGGGATTCGGTATGTTAGAATTATGTATTGTTTACATTTTGATTATGTGCTAGAATTAGGTATGTTAGAATTATATATTTAGATTAATTATGATATGATATATGTTAGTTAGTTAGTACTGAATTTAGATTAATTTGTTTAGTTTTCTCATGATAGATCGGGATTGAGTATGTTATAAGTATGTATTTTTTACATGTTGATGTGTTAGTAATTATACTGTCTGTATTTAGTGAATTGCGGTTATTGGAAAATATGTTATGATATTATTTAGTTTAATTATGATATGATAGATGTTAGTTAGCTAGTTATGAATTTAGATGAATTTGTTTAGTTTTCTCATAATAGATCAATTAGTTGCATTTTATTATCGCTTTGGATGATATTGTTTTTGTATCCATAATGTACTAATTATATACTATACTTAATTATTATAAATTGCAGACATGGGTAAATTTAAGAAGTTTCGGCTTATTATTTATTGGAATGGTCGGGTGACAAACTCGAACATTGGGATCGACTATGAAGATGGCGAATCCAGTATGCTTACAATTGAGTCGAGATTCTCGTGGCAAGAACTCCATGACAGGTGTGCAGAAAGGACTTGTACGGGCGGGCAAATGAGAGTTCGTCAAATTACTTACCGGTATCCCAACATGAGTGCTGACGGAGTCATGTACGAAAGAGTTGACATAAATGATGATGACGACGCGAACATGATGACACAGTTCATATCTGAGAACGGGGTGCGGCTTGCAGAGGTGTATGTCGAGACCGAGCCGGTCGGTGAAACTCATTCTCACCAGTATTCTTATGATGATGGTTTTGCAGGAGGGTATGGCTGGGGTGGTAGTTCAAGTAACTACGGAGCAGGTTCTTCTGCCGGAGGGTATGGTTGGGGAGGTACTTCAAGCAACTACGGAGGAGGTAGTTCTGAAGGAGGTGTTGGGTGGGAAGAATACCTGCCACATGGTGGTGAGACTGCCGTCGATATCGTTCAGCCCGACGGTGATCAATGGCCTGCTTGGGGTCCAGAGTGGGGTGACATTGAAAACACCCTTCGAACTGGGCGTACTTCGCATGACCAAGAAGGCGATGCTGGTTATGCTGCTAACGATGACCATCCTTCGCCGAGCTATCCATTCGCCTCCAGTGACGATGAAAGTGAGGAAGATTTGAGATCAGTCAGTGAGGAGGAAGATACGGACGATAACGACGATATCGATGACAGTGAGGTGGCGTTCCGACAGGCACCAACGCCTTACTACACAGAGGTTCCTGATCAATTTTTATATGGTCAGAACGATGCCCCTGACTTTCGGCCCATGCCTGTGCATAATTCGACTGCTAATTTGGAAGTGGGTATGGCGTTCACTTCGAAAGCCGATGTGCAAGACGCTTTTAGCGAAGAAGCCATGCGGCGTAATTTCGAATGGAAGGTAAAATATTCTGACAAGGGACAACTGCATGTCATTTGTAAGAATGTTGGAGAGGGTTGTATGTGGCAACTTCGTGCTGCATATATGAAGAGAAAGGGGGTCTGGGTCATGCGGACAGTAGAGAACAACCACAGTTGCTCCTCAACCATACTTTCACAGGATCACCGGCAACTGAAAGCAAAAAAAGTGGCAAGAACCATTAAGCACCTTATCGAGGCACAACCAGATATCAAGATAAAAGCTATCATGGCGGAGGTGAAGGATCGACACTCCTACACCATAAGGTATAAGAAGGCGTGGCATGGGAAGCAGAAGGCCATGGCTGATGTCTACGGTGATTGGGATGACTCGTATGCTTTACTCCCCAGACTAATGTCCGCAATGGAGGAGTCCAACCCTGGGACGGTTTTCGTGCCTTGGTACAACAACGTAGAAACTGAAGATCAAGTTCGAGTACAGAACGAGTTGATGTTTCATCGTCTGTTCTGGACATTCAAGCCATGCATTGACGGGTTTCCCTTCTGCATGCCAGTGATTCAGGTATATTACGGACTCAAAATATTGTACTATTTCATTATTCATTTTAACAGGTTGATGGAACTTTCCTTACTGGGAAGTATAAAGGAACTCTTCTTATTGCCACTGGGGTTGATGGAAATTTAAGTATTTTTCCCTTAGCATTTGCATTAGTTGAAGGGGAGAACAACCTAAGTTGGGCATGGTTCTTTGACCAGCTACACGCCCACGTCACACAAAGAATGGGTATTACAATTATATCGGATCGACATGCCGGGATTAAACACGCCGTCCGTGGTTTCCCGGACGAATGGGGATGGACATGGCGTTGGTGTATTCGTCACTTCCTAGCCAATTTCCAACACAAATTTGGCAAGAAGAAAGACATAAGAGATCAATTATGGAGTGCAGGTAATAATGTAATTCAGTGCTTGTTCATGGTTTATTGTTCAAATGACAATTCTTATGGATTAATTATTAATTCTCCGGTCTTGTAGCGGTTGCACATCAACCAAAAAAGTACGAGCAGAAGATGAAGACGATCCGTCAAATACACCGGGCGGGAGCAGTATGG